AGGAATTCTGGGGTGGGTTGCCATTTCCTTCTCCAGAAGATCTTCCCGCCCCAGGGATTGAACCCAGGCCTACCACACTGTAGGCATTCTGAGCCACTTCTATACAAATATGTTACATCACTGTCATTAATGTCATTATGTTCCCTGGTATGAATGAGGTTTCTCCTTCCTTGGTCAAAGGTTAAAAACAAAACAGAGCAAAAACCCAGTACTTTGTCTATAGCTAAATCTTCTCTTCCTCCTCCTTTCTTTTCCCATCTGGGTTCATCTAGCTGCAGTGAAGTACCCTCCCTATAGCTTTTCCCCAAGAGATGCACATGTACCATCCACTTTGGATGGAGGACATGACTACAGACATTATTCCAGTGCTCTATCCTCACTGCCCATATTCCAGGCAGTGTGGGCCAGTTTTGTGCAGCCCATCCTTCAGAAACCCTTATGGAAATTTCAAGGAAATTATTCCTTCCTTCTTTTCAGCTGTCTGCTCAGATCCCTGGCATATTGTGAGGTATAGAGAAAACATTTTTGTATTTTTCCTAAGTTGGGCTTTCTGAATAAATTTTGCCAAAGTCTTGAAATACTAGGCTAAGAGGAATTCTTGGGAAATGAATGTACAATTGAAGTTAGTGAAGTAACTACAGATAGTGAGAGAACCCCAGAGAGATTTACTTAAAATTTAGAGATTTACCTAACTCCAGAAGTATGAAGAGAGGGCTGGGTTTTAGAGCTGAAGTCAATGGTCTTATTTTCCCCCTGGAGAAATTTATATTTCACACCCATCTCTAAGGTAATGTTCTCAGATGGAGGAGATATAAGGGGAAGAGGAATAGTCTCTTTGGCTTTTATAACCAGAGAAAATATATATTTCTTCATTCCTTGACTTCATATGCATAAGTCACTTAGCCTGACCTTCATTGTATAGCCCTAGGGGTAAGAATAAGGTGTGGGGAAACACTGAGTTATAATTTGTATTTTAAGTGAATAATGATAATCTGTTTCTGATCCAGAAAACTTTGTGTGTGCATTAATAACATAAATATGTAAAACCCAACACATGCTGGTTACAAACTTCCAGTGCAAATGGGCTTCTACTTCTGTGATACTCAAATAAATCTTCAGTAGCTGCTGTCCCCGAGTCTCCTTCCCCCTCTATTCCCTGTAGCTCCATTTACTTAAAAGAGCCCAGTAGAGAGGATGAAAGTCAAGTGCAGCCATGGAAGGTCTGAAGTCATGGCCTGAGCCACACTCAGGAGGATGGTAGCCACTGGTGTGCTGGAGAATATGCAACACCTGATTTGGGGGATTTTGATCTGTAGATTTGATGATTCAGGAGTTACAGATACTCCTACTAGGACTGATTTCAAGCTGCCAATATGATATTGGCCTGCTGGCAGAATTCCTGAAAAAGTAACAATTGACTCCCATAAGCCAGTATAAACAGTATCCAGTACACAACTAATTGTAGTTCTTATTAGATCTGACACACTGGGATTAGAATGACAAATGTAGTTTTGGTTTAATTCAGAAAAGATGTGAGGATTTCTTTGTGCTAGAGAAATCCTGTCTCACTGAGAAGTAGGATAGTGAGTGAGTAAGAATAAACACTGGGAATCAGACATATCAGGCTATACATGTGTGTGTGCCTGCATGCTAAGCTGCTTCAGTTGTGTCCAACTCTTTGCGACCCTATGGACCATAGCCCGCCAGGTTCCCCTGTCCGTGGGATTCTCCAGGCAGGAATACTGCAATGGGTTTCCATGCCCTTCTCCAGGGGATCTTTCCTACCCAGGGGTCAAACGCACATCTCTTGCGTTAGCAGCCAAGTTTACCACTAGCACCAGCTGGGAAGCCCCATTAAGCTATACACTTCATGTATTCGTTATATGATATTGAGCATGTTATTTAACTTTTTTATGAAGTTGAGATTCACAAAACATAAGATTCACCACTTTACAGTGTGCAACTTAGTAGTTTTTAGTACATTTACAGTGCTGTGCAACATCACCACATCTAATTCCAGGACATTTTCATCCCCTCAAAAGACCCCCTATGCACTAAACAGTCACTCTCTATTTCACCTTTCCACAATCACCTAACTGACTTTCTGTCTTTTTTGACTTGCCTATTCTGGACTTTTGACATAAATGAACTTATATAATTTGTCAGTCTTTGTATCTGACTTCTTTCACTTAGTAGAGTGTTTTCAAAGTTCATCCATGTTGCATTACATGTCAGAACTTAACACATTTTTATGGCGGAAAAGTAGTTCATTGTTTAGATTTAACACATTTGTTTTGTCCATTTACCAGATGATACACATTTGAGTAACCTGATACAAATTTCACTTTTTCAGCTGTTATAAATAATGCTATGATAAATATTCATTTACCAGTTTTGGTTTGAGTTCCTGTTTTCAATTATTTTTCATATATACCTAGGATTAAGATTTCTGGGTCATTTGATAATTCTATATTTAACTCTTTGAGGAACCACCAAAGTTTTTGCCATAGAGGCTGCATCATTTTATATTTCAGCTAGTAATAAATGAAGGTTCCAGTTTCTTCACATCCTCACCAACACTTGTTACCTCCCAATTTAAAAAAAAATATGTATACTGTATGTTTTATATATATATATATATATATATATATCTCCTAGTAGACATGAAATAGAACAACAAAAAGGAATTGAAAAATCATTTCCCTTCATTCTCATTCCCAAGTTCAAGCTAAGATTTGGATTCCAGAGGAAATAGCATGTGTGAAGTTCCAGAAGGACAAGAGAACATAGTCTGAAAAACCAAAAGAAGTACAGGGTGGTTGTAGCAAAAAGGGCATGTGAGAGAAGGAGTGACATGAAAGGGGAGAACTTGACACCAAGCAATAACTGGTTAGTACCAATGATGTCATAAAATGCTTTGACGTTATGTTAGGGTATTGGGTTTTCTTCCAGTCAAAATGAGTAACTGTTAAATGATTATTAACTACAGGGTTGATATGATCTAACTAAGTTTAGTAAGACCAATATTGTTTCTGAATAAAACATAAATGAAAGAGAAAAATAAATAAAGTTAGCAAATTTCTAAAAGAGGCTGCTGAAAAATCCAGGGCAGAGAGAAGGTTATGATTATTTTTCATGTGAAACATGAATAAATTCAGGATACTCAGAAGACATAATACATAGTAAATATTTTTTTAAATAATTTTTTCCCTAGTAGCTCAGCTGGTAAAGAATCATTCTGTAGTGTAGGAGACTCTGGTTTGATTACTGGGTCAGGAAGATCTACTGGAAAAGGGGTAGGCTACCCCTATCCAGTATTCTCAGACTTCCAAGAATTCCCCTACCCCACTCCAGTATTCTTGGACTTCCCTGGTGGCTTAGCTGGTAAAGAATCCACCTGCAATTCAGGAGACCTGGGTTCAATCTCTCAGTTGGGAAGATCCCCTGAATAAGGGGACAGTTACCCACTCTGGTATTCTGGCCTAGAGAATTCCATGGACTGTATAGTCCATGGGGTCACAAAGAGCTGGACACGACTGAGCGACTTTCACTTCACTTCAAACAATTTTTTAGGTGAGTGATGAAAAGAGAAAAGACTTTGACATGGGAAACTGGTTGAATTCTATACCACTTAATAAGACAGAGAATTCAGGAGATTGTGTTGATCATAAGGAAAGAAAGAGAAGATGGAAATTATTCTGGTTCATTTTGATTTTGAAGGTGCAGTGGAATAGCCAAGAGGAGTTATCAGAGAGTTGGCTACATGGGACAGAAAGAATTTGAAGTAGAGTTTTGAACTCAACAATTATCAGCATATAGATGGTTATTGAATTCATAAGCTTATTTCATGCTAAACAAATTTAACCTTACAAAAAGCCTATAACTTAGGTACTATTTTTCTGTTATTTTAGAAAGAAGAAATTGAAACAGGATCAAAGGACCTAAGTAAGAGCAAAATTTTGTGTTTTGATGTTTTTCATTGTAAAAAATTAGGATAGTTTCTTCTGATGCCTCTCATTTTCTTGGAGTTTGAAAAATCCCCTCTCCCCATCTAACTCTACCAATAATTTTTTCCAGCAGAACTGAGGCCCTGAAATTCATAGGAATTGGATCCATTATTGAAGGCTTCCAGTTATTTATTTACAAAAGAAAGTTGTCTTAAATCAGTATGATTACTTGATTTCTCACAATTTTTCTCTCTATGTTCTTATCCCCAGGTCACTGCATCCCTTTAGGGTAGAATAGAAGGATGACCTTGTCCCTGATCTGTTTTGTTTTGAATATGGGTTTGAGTGCATGTAGAATTGCTATATAGAGACTGGCAAACATGATGTGAAATGTGTGAGAGATGTTGTGGCCAAAGCGATGAGTGAAACCAGAGAACATGGCTGGTGTGTAGAACATGAGGATGATGCAACACGAGAACCACAAGTACAGAGGGCTTTCTGGCGGGCATCTCTGGATGGAAGGTGGAAAACAGCATGAAGAATGAGAGTGTAGGAGATGCCAATGAGGATCATGTCTGAGATAATAGTCATCACAGGCACAGCAAAGCCATACCAGATACTGATGGAGATGTCAGCACAGGCAAGTTGGGCCACCCCTATATGCTCACAGTATGTGTGAGGGTTGATACGTGTCCTGCAGAATGGCAAATGCATCACCAGAAAAACAACAGGCAAAATAACAGTAAAGCTTCAACTCCCATGATCTTAACAATCATCTTGGGTGTCAAGACACTGCTGCTGCTGCTGCTAAGTCGCTTCAGTCATGTCCGACTCTGTGTGACCCCATAGTCAGCAGTTCACCAGGCTCTGCCATCAAGACACTAGCCTATCTCAAAGGGTATCAAATGGCCATGTAACAATCAAAAGCCATGCCCAACAAAATGACTGAGTTCAGAAAAAAGCTAAAGTGAAGAAAGGATAACTGAGTGAGGAAGCCAGAAAATGTGATTTCCTGAGCTTTTAACCAGAATATGCCAAGTGTTTTGGGGACACTTATAGTAAATAATATGAGATCTCCAGAGGCCAGCATTGAGAGGAAGAAGAACATGGGTTCATGGAGACTCTGGTCCATAGTGATGAGGTAGAGAAGAATGCCATTGCCTACCAGGGCCACGAGGTAGATGGAGAAGAAAGGAATCCCAATCAAGACATGGAACTGCTCCAGTCCTGGGATCCCCACCAAAATGAAGGAGTCTGGATTAAAATTGGTCAAATTCAAAGTGGCCATCATGTGGATTGTCATTCCCTGAGAACAAAATATCACATTTGATCCCTGGGACCAACCGTCAATGAAATGAATTACTTTCAAGTCTTTTCTACAACAAGGATCCCTACTTTCCTATTATCTAACAAGCACTAGGGAAAATGTAACCTACTTCTTGTCACAACCACTACATCATTTACCAAAATGCCATGAGATCCCAATTAAACCAATGATCCCCCATCTATGGACTTTACCAATTGCATTGTTGTGTAGTGGAACAATGCTCCAACAGACCTATGACACTAGCCCTTGGATGTTAACTAAAATTTCAAGATTAGCTTGCTCTTACAAAGTAAACCAGTCAGAGATATCTCAAGGATGTAAATATCAAATGTCTTACCTCCTTGAGTCTAAGTAATATCTTCTCTGAAGTTTGTATCCAAAAAACTAATAGGAACTAGGTGTGAATTAGCAAATCTACATTTGTAGTGCCAATGTATCATTAGGTTTTTGATGAGCCAATCTTTTACTTTCTAGTTACTCCAACCACTTCAATAGCTAGAAGAAAATATTCATCTAAATATCCTGTCAACTCATCAGTTCTCCAAGACTCATTATTTTCTGCCAATTCCTAACCAGCTACTGCACTTTAAAATCATATCATTCCCCAACTGCTGGAACACAGTAATCTGAGGATTGGCTTTAACTCTGCATTCTCCTTCAGTCTCTATATCTCATTTGCTGGCTCACATGATCTTTTCTTGAAATTCCTGTTTGGTCTGACTATTCCATTTCTTTTCCTCCTTCTCAAGTCATCTTCATCACTAATTAGAACCACAGAATAAGAATTCCAATTCTTCCAATGTCTTACAAGTCCCTTCATCCCCATATGCTGTCAGATTTCTCTTTTGAAAATATGAAATTTTCACGACACTATTCCTTAAAAGGTATTCATATAGGCCCCCTCGTATTTTTCCTACATTTAATCACATATATTTCTATGTTTTCCAGAAATGCAATCTTGTCTGCTTATTGCTCCTGATCCTTATAAGTGCCAATGATTCCAAGAAACCTTCTCTAGTATAGTTGAACCATACAATCTACTTCCATGCTTGTATAATCACGGCTATTGATTATTTTACCAAACAATCAAGTAGTTAAATCTGTGCATTATTTTCCTATTTATTTTCCTAGATCATCTTTCCTAGACATGTAGTCATCCTTCATTAATGATTGAAACCTCTTCTTAAGGACACATTTTCTGTCTGCATGTGTCTATTCATACGGGAAGGAGGTAAGGTTTCACATAGAATAACCATTCATACAGTCTCAGTAGTAAAATTGATATTTTAAGTCTGCCATTGTTTACTTATTTTTTTCTGACTTTTTTACATGAAACCTTTCACTTGGACTGAAAGGGGTGTGTGTGTATACACACAGAGAGGATTTAGTCTTTTACACAGAAGTCACTATTCTGACTTCTGACCTTTGTATTCACATATTTCTCTCTGATTATAAACTTTTCTATCTCCCTCCCCATTTATAAAAACCATTGCAATTGCATTGCATTAGATAATTCAGTATAATCCTCCCATTTTAAAGTCAGCTGACTATCAAGCATAAATCTTTGACTTGTAAATAATATATGCACAGTTTCCTGGAGTTAGAATGTGCATATCTTTGAGGGGCCATCCACTATGTCTACCACAGGACCTTTTATACCATCTGGATCTTTCCCAGCCTACCTCCCCAAGACTTGTACCACCATTACCACACTCAGATAACACTCACAGGCACCTGATTTTGAGGTTAGTCCTGGGTTAGACAGCCAGGAGAGAGGTTGTCACGGAGAGCTCCAAGGATAAGAACAGCAAAATGCAGGAAAGAACATAGAAAAATTGAGGAGGACATATAAAAAGAAAGATAGGAAGGGTACCCGGGTCAGAAGATGAAGCATAGGGAGAAACAAATTTAATTCCAGCCAGGAAAGACAAACATATGGTTGACATAACTTTTACCTCATGTTGGTTTTCTCAGGGGATGGGGGGACTCTGAAAAATTAGGGCTGTAAAACTAGGGGGATTTCCGGGACTTCAGTTCCAAGTCAGTACTATTAGTATTTGTCTATCATTTTTGTAGTCTATAAATGATAGCATACACTCATAGGATATGGTTCTAGGTTTTCTTTTAAGTTTATTTTTAATTGGAAGATATTTGCTTTACAATGTTATGTTGGTTTCTGCTGTACAACGATGAGAATCAGCCATAAGTGTTAAGTGTTAGTCGCTCAGTCGTGCCCGACTCTTTGCGACCCCATGAACTGCAGCCCACCAGGCTCCTGTGTCCACGAGATTTTCCAGGCAAGGATACTGCAGTGGGTTGCCATTTGCTTCTCCAGGGGATCTTCCCAACCCAGAGATGGAACCCAGGTCTCCTGCACTGCAGGCAGATTCTTTACCAACTGAGCTACAAGGGAAGCCCAATCAGCCGTAAGTATACATATATCCCCTCCCTCCTGAATCCCTCTCCCACCGGCCCCTCATCCTACCTGATAGGTTGTCACAGAGCACTGGAGTGAGCTCCCTATGTTATAAAGCACCTTCCCACTAGCTATCTATAGTACATATAGTAATGCACGTGTTTCAGTACTACTCTCAATTTGCCCCACCCTCTGAGTTTTAGATAGAGGCGAGAAACCAAAAAGTGCTAGAATTCTTCAAGGTATGGCTTGTGTAGACTAGTCATTTATAGACAATCAAAAAAAAAACACTTTTTGAAAGAATAATGAATTAAAGTAGGTAGGCACCTGGATCTAAATCAGAAGAACAGTGTGATGATGACATTGCAAATTCTAGGTCCCAGAAGATGCTTTTAGGAACTGTAGGAGAAAAGACAGTTGATTGGTTAGGGAGGCTAGTTAGTTCCAGAAGATATGGTTGCAGCATAGATGTCACTATCAGTCTTTCAAAGTCCTCCAAATTCTGATTCATTTGGTTTCTCAGCCCCAACTCCTCCATCCAGTGAGGGTCTTTCTGGATCATTGCATCATCTTCTGTTTCACTGAATGAGACTTTCTGGTCTCTACATGTTACTGTAATGAGATATTTTTTGGACTGAAAACACTCAGTGACTTCTGAGCAAGATGAGGTAAACTTTTATTACACAAATCACTCCCTTAGCTCACTGTCTGTTTATTATACACCTACCACATGGCTGGAGATGTATTATTAACATCCAGCTACTTATGGTAGAAACCTAAACACTCTTGACATCCTTTTTTCTCACTTACCATACTTTCATTTTATTGATTATGTTAATGTTTTGCAAACAAACAAAAAAGAACTATCATAGATCCCAGTGTCATACTGAGATCTTTCATACTTGAATTGTATTTTATAACAGTGTAATGGATATATAATGCAGACCACACTTTACATATTGCAGAAAAGGCTGAAATACATTGTAGTTTTGCTAACTATTCTTTGCATTTTACTATAAATGACCCAGAAATTTTGTGTTTTTTACCAGCCTCAAAACTGTGACAGACTAACTTGCTGTCTTGCAAGTAGGGTACAATTTCAGACACTTACAGTTCTTGACAGAGACAATTTGACAAGATGTCCCTAAGAAACAGTGAGTCACAGAAATAGAAACTCTCTTTATTACTGACCATCCTCTTTATTAAACCAACAAGATTATAAATCTTTGGAACAAATACTCTTAATTATAAAGTGATTGTTGTAAATGCAGCAGATATATGCCATTCTAGAATGCTATATCAAAATAAGTAATATTGAGATGCAGCTCATCCCAAAAAACATGAGTTATTTCCTGAACTTACAAAACATATATTAAATGCTAAAAAGATGTTAATTACTATTAGCTGTTGTATATAAAAAAGGATATATATGAATGTGTAAATTATATAGTCTATTATTGAAATTCTATAAATGTATCTATATAAATAATCTTAAAGAATACATACCAATATTTATACTGCAAATACACTATAAACAGAATATATATTTCTGATACAAATTATATCAGAAATTGACTTTGGTTAACATATTGTTAAGGGCTTCCCTGGTAACCTAACTGGTAAAGAATCAGTCTGTAATGCAGAAGACCTGGGTTTGATATCTTAGTTGAGAAGATCCCCTGGAGAAGGGAAAGGCTACCGACTCCAGTATTCTGGTCTGGAGAATTCCATGGACTGTATAGTCCATGGGGCCGCAAAGAGTTGGACATGGCGGAGCAACTCTCACTCTCACCATATATTTACCTTAATTAATACTAATGCATCAATATTGGCTCACTGATTATAACAAATGTGTCATACTAACATAAGATGTTAATAATATCTTTATCATAAATTACAGGACTTTTTGTTCTATAAAATGTCCTGAATAGGTAAACCTATCAAAAACAAATTAGCGTTTCCAGGAACTGACAGGGATAAGGTCTGAGCTGTGACTACTCTCAGGCATGTCAATTATTTGCAGGGTATAGGAAATGTTCTGGGATTCAACAAATTCAACAAATGATTCAACAAACCTAGTGAGTATACTAAAAGCCACTGAATTGTATATTTTAAAAAGGTGAATTTTATCTCAATTGACAAATAAAATTAAGTAAATCTTGTCTCCAAAAGAGGAGTCATTCTAAATTTGGAAGATCCTAAGACAGATTAATACTATTTCCTATCTCTTTTTTTTAAATTTTTTTTTAATTTCCTATCTCTTAAATGCTAGTCTCTGCTATCTCTGTTTTATTTCTAGTATTCTAATACCACTCTTACCATTCTGTCCAAATTCACCAAAGTACTATTTCATTTGGAAAGTCTTTTCACCTTCATTGTCTCAAGCAGCACCCACAGTAACCTCATACACATGCCCCCCACACACAAGTGTACCCACACATGTATCCTTTACAGTTTGAACTGCAATTTGACACTCTGTGAAGCCTCTCTTAGAAATACCAGGCAGAATTATTCTTCTAGCCTCTGACTCCCATAGCATGGTGCATCC